TGAGTAGAAATTATGTTTAGCCAGGTAGAATATCTATCTACTATCCATGTGTAAACCTGTAGTGGCATTTGACCATAACCACACAATTCTCAAAGTTGAACACGACAATACTCGGAAAATAGATATTGAATATTTAACGCGGAGAAAAACCCGACGATAGAGAAGACGGGAACAATGAGTGGAATTAACTGGAGTTGATCGGATGGCATGGCTCGGCCATGCTGAATGCTACCTTTTATCTTTTATTCATATTAGATATATTGTTCTATCGCTAGCCTAAGCCTGTTATCCATCATGTATTGGTAGTTGTTACAATGCAGTGAGTTGTTGTAGAGGATGATGTGACTTACACGTAAAATCCTATAGATTGGACAGTTACATCATGACAAATCTACAATTTTAGGATTAGGTCTATTATTAAAGCAGTACTAATATCATAGTAGACCATTATTCTATAATCCTATATTTGTCCTCCCCCCGAAGATCATGTCGGATATTTGACTAGCGATATGTAGCCATTGTTCTGGGATGATCAGCCAAATTGCTGTGGAACTGAGAAAGTAAAATTTGGGAGTGTTCGGAATAAGTGAATCCTATTGGACCTATCCGGGTAGAAGTGGGTAGATTCCGCTTAGATGATTCCATACTCCAGTCACACTCTGCACTCTCAAGACGTCACTCTGATGCTGTTCAATGAAGCACGTAAAGCGCCTGTCGAATGGAAATTTCACGGACCCAGGATTATCAGAGCATCCTTTAGAACGAAAGTGGATAGGATTACAACGAATGTTATCAAATGCAGTGCACCCACCAATGATGGCAACGACGACAGTGAAAATCAGTTTTATGGGAGACCGCAATCGATGATGGCGAAGTGCTCAAGGAAAGAGCTGATCATCCTGATGGGCGACTCAAACGTCAAAGTTGAAATGGGTAACAATGGGTATCAAGATATCATGGGACGACACGGACTAGGAGAAGGAAATGAGAATGACGAGATTTGCAAATTTATGTGAATTTGACAAAATGGTTATAGGTGACGATATATACCCTCAAAAACGCATATATAAGTCACATGGGGCTCACCGGATCACACTATACAAAACCGGTCCGATCATACATGCATCAGCATGAACCAGGAGGAGATCTGACTGAGATCAAGATCACCACTTGATGGTGAGTTCCTACGACCTTATGGATATGTGGGGACACGTTTCGTTCAGTCAACCGGACTTTTCAGTTTACAGACAATGGGTGTTTGTTAGCACCGTACAGATTTTGATGATAAACACACAGGTCTACTCTGGTGAAACATGGCTTTAATGTTACTGTTAAGTCTATACGTCAGTAAGCGGCCTGCTTGAATATTTGGGCTACCTGTTTCTGCCATCTAGTTATTTCAACAAGTTATCTGTTTTTTCATTTTGTTTTAACCTCTCATTATGTCCATTAATCGCATAACCTATACAGGCGCGTTTATGAAAAGCCTACGACCTTTCGCTGCACTAGTTACAAAAACCTACAATAAAAGACATCGTGGTGGTTGGCAATATGCGTTAAAGAGAATGAACATTAATCGTATGTCGATTCCCGAATCTCTCAATTCTAACTGACGATCATTAATTAACAAGATAGACTATCTTCAATCCCTACTAAGTCAAAATATGTATCGTAATTGTGGTGTCATCACAATTCAAGAATCTTGATTAAACGATTTACAGGACGACTGCCTAGTATCCCTACATGATTTCAAAATTTATCGTCAGGATCGATCAAACGATAAAAAGAGGTGTGGCGGCGGTGTAGCTACTTTTGTAAACGTGAACTGGTGTCGATCTACGTTTGCGTGTTTCAAGTTTTCGAATGACTTTATCGACTGTCTAACTCTAAGATGCCGTCCAAAACATCTGAATAAATACAAATATGTTTATGTTACCAATATCTATGTGACCCCAGACTGCACATCATCTGCGCTATCTGTCTTCGCTGATGAATTCACTGAGTTCGCTGTTACTGCCTTCAGTGATTCACTTTCAGTTGTATGTGGTGATTTCAATTCATGTGACTGTAGCTTCCTTACATCGCTAGGTCACCAAAATGTAGTAGATTTTCCTACTCGGTTGGATGCTCATTTAGACTTCGTTTTCATTAATGATGTAGGTATATATGTGACTCGTAAACGTGCTCCATTGTCTAGCTCGGATCACTGTATAATTCGTGTTCTTCCTAAAGTATATGGAAAGCATGGGAAGAGTACACTCTTAAATCAAAGCAAGAAAGTCAAATATTGGAATTACTCAGAAGTAAATATCCGAAACCTGAAAGACATGTTTCATACGACCAACTGGGAATTATTTACAGATGACTCACTAGAAATCACTTCTGATGTTATTACTTGTTACTTTAAATTCTATTTTGATATTTGTTGTCCCACTGAAACTATTTTTGTAAGTTTTGATCGACTTACATCTTCACAACTAAAACGACTACGGAGGGTGAAAGAAAGAATGTACAAAAAGAAAAACTCTAGTGAAGTTCGTAAGCTAAATGGTCTGATAAACCTCGAGATTAGTCGTCTCAACACTATGTTTGCTCAAAAACTCTTGTTTTGTAAAAACTCTTCAAGTATGTGGAAACTCTTTAAAGAACTTACAGGTGACAGACAGATTAGGACCGATAACCAGCTGGATGTTTGTGACTTAAATAAGTCTTTTTTACGTCAATCATCTGATTTGTGATACTCCCTTCATTCACGGGTTTAAAAAATAGCTTTGTTCCTAGTTTCACCGAATCTGATGTCCAAAAATGTCTCCAGTCACTAAATTCATCCCGATGTTTGGGACCTGATGGTATCCCAAACCTCCTTTTCAAAAAGTGTGCTGACGTCCTATGCTATCCATTCACCACTATCTTTAATAGATTCTTCTCTTCTAATCTCATACCGGAAATGTGGAGAAAGATGAAAATAATTCCTATACCCAAGAAATCATCTAGTGATAAGAATGTGAAATTCACAACCATCGCAATAACTTCACCCTTCCTCAAAGCAATGGAAAAATTATTGACACTTTCACTTCAGCCCGCGATAAAAGAGCACATTGACCAGTATCATTTTGCTTACAGATGCAAAAGAAGCACCCTAGATGCTGTTGCTGTTCTGCATCATAATATAGTGTTCAACCTAGAAAAGGGTAAGAAGTATGTTCGATACGCTTTCCTGGACTATACTTCTGCTTTTGATTCTATATCAAGGCAACGTTTACTTAACAAGTTAATCAGCGTCAACACTGACAGCTGGATAACCAACTGGCTACGTTCCTACCTCTCTGGAAGGGAACAGTACACGGTGTTTGGAGGAAAGTGTTCAGAGTCTCTAGTGTCTTATGAAGGTGTACCACAAGGAGCTGTTCTTTCACCTCTTCTTTTCTCTTTTTTTCTGCATGATCTGCCATCTTCCACAGTAAACACTTTCGTGAAATATGCAGACGATCTCACTGTTTGTATGCCTATCTCTTCCTCTTTACATCCTATAGAAATGAACGAGTTTTTATCTCGCATTGATAGTTGGTCTGTCGTTAATGGTCTCCTACTTAATCCGTCTAAATGTCAAGCTGTTAACTTTAGCATGAGACATGATCGGCATTTAAACACCTTTTTGAGATCTCATAATGCTTGTGCCATTGGCGACTCTTTGATAAACACAGTGTCGACGGTCAAGTATCTTGGTGTTACCTTTTCCTCTGATCTCTCTTGGTCTTCTCACGTTTTATTGTTATCGAAGAAGGTTTTCCGTCTGACTTACTACATTAAGAGATTGCATGCTCTTGGGATCACTCGTAAGTTACTCTTACAATTTGTCAATTCTTGCATATTACCTATTATTCTTTACAGCTCTCCATTATTCTTTCCCGGGCTTTTGAGAAAAGACTTTGCTGTACTGCGGAGAGCGCTGAAGGCAGTTAGCAAGTTATGTGGTGAATCTTTCGAGACCATAATTAATATGATTGTGGATAGACATCTAAAGTCATGCAAACTCCTGGCAGATGTTATTTTATCAGATACTAACCATCCCCTTCACTCATATCTTTCTCTTTGTATATCTTCTGGTAGAACGAGACGAAATTACATTAAAATCGAAGCACGCAAGCAAAAGTATAAACGTTCTATAGTACCTTACCTAGCAAATGTACTCTGTGACGAACAGGTTGTTAGAGTTAACCTAGTCAATAATCTGCATTCTTAACATGACTCTAATTGAAAAGTTGTACAGTTTTTTTTGTTTTTTTCAGATTTTTTTAACCGTTTTTTTTTCTCTTTTGTTCTGTAAAAGAAACTTGTTGAAATATTTTTGTACTGTGAATTCTATATTGTACCAAAATCTATAATATTGAATAAAGCCATAAATAAATAAAAATAAACTTCCTCAACCTTACGTATGAATGGAGAAATTTGGCAGTCGGAGCTTAACAACGAATTGAAAACGTTAATTTTTCCTGTGAGCGAGCTAACAACGAAAGTTGACATCATTTATTCAATATACGCAAAATTAACTCGTGATTCATGCGAACTATATTCAACTGATTGATCAAAGTGCTTCAGTTCACAGTAGAAGGCAGTAACAGTTTCGTTCAATGAGACAGAGATCATTTGGTAACAGTTTTAGAATCAGTTTTACATAACTATATCAGTTCAGCCTCAAGCTCACATTTCTTTTACTAACAAGAACAGGGTTCGAGATATTATATTATGTTCAAGAAACTTAAACATAGTTCAGTAAAGTTTTCTCACCGTATATTCCATCACCTTATCTCTACAATCAGTAATTTGACCGTTTTGATGCATACTATTATGTATGGTGAGGAAATAATGAAGAAATTCCAAATTATAGTTTATTATACTGACTTTATTTCTCATTAAAATTACAATGGCTTTCAATAACAAAGTGGAATTCGGTGCTTGATATTAATTTATTTCTATGTTTGAAACAATTCGTATATAATTCAGTGATATAGAATTTCTGGATGCAGTCTAGCGACTTCGTTAACTGACCCATATTTCTTCACCAGCTCCCTTATTTTTTGTATGTCAGATTGATAATTAACTTCGGGATATGGTATGTTAACTGGTACATTGACATTCAAGAATTTACACAATGGTTCCCAACCATCTCCAAGATGATATATTAGAAGACGTTCAGATGGTATATTTTCCTGAAATGTTTTGATATGTTTTTCGTAATATTCAAGTAACATTGCATCATCGTCAAGATCAATATCATAATTCTGAAGTGCTAATTTTGTTGAATCAATAATAAGTTTGTCCAATTCAACAGGGATTCCTGCACGTCTTTTTGCTTCATACATTTGTTTACTACGTGGATCATTTGATTTAGGGATGACCACTTCACGGAAACTAGTCAACCAATCGTTTTTATCGCGAACTGTTATTATAACCTGTATCAAAACAAGATTGATATTATATTACGGTATTATAGATATAGAAATAATACATTTCAATATTCATTTAAAGGTATATTACCAAAACACTATTTTGATTCATTTTAAGGATCAAGTTTGTTTGATCTATCAATTAACCATTTGTGATAACATCGTCCAAGTCAATGACGACTGACATAAATTAATCAGTCACACTAGATGAACTAACATATGCAGTCTATAAATATTATCTTTCAGCAATCGCATTAAACCAACCTTAATAGCCATAAAGTTAACACAGATTAACAACATTGGTTATCTACAATAGTTACAGATTGTGTTATTGTTGAAGTTGAGTGATTATAAAAGAAGAAGTAAGGGGGTGTTCGACGGGTGATAATTCAGGAAGTTCTAAAGTCGTCTATCCATTAATTTTATTAACAAGTTACACTTTAGTTGAATTAGTATACAAAGCAATTGAATTTCTTAGTACACTAGGTAAATGAAGTATGTGGTAACGGTATATCTAAACATCAGATAATTGGTACCAGTTCTCAATCGTTATTATTTATATCCATGTAAGAAGTAAGAGTTCCAGAGATATCAATAATTTGAAATAATGAAATCCAGAGATTATAATCATCCACATAATAAAAACTCTTAACCCACCTTTGCATTAGGATATAAAGTCATCAATTCCTTGTATAACCAACATACATGGGTATTAATCACAGATCCATAACCAACCAACATCTCGCTCAAACATTTATGCATCTTCTCCTCACAATGTGTCGTTCGTACTTCATCGGCAAGCATTTGCCATTTAGGAATATCACATTGTTTTCTAGCCAAAAGTTCATAACCATGATAACAAGGTTGAGTGTAAATTATTTCCAATGCCTTTTTCATACTGGTCGTTCCAGTTCTTGGTAGGCCACCTCCAATAATTGATATTGATGCTGGAGTTTCTGACATCATTTCAACTAAAAAAAAGCGATATGAATTAAAAAACAAATACACAATGATTAGGACATCACAATGTTATATTTCGGTTAGAATGTAGTGACCTACTTTTGTCAACAGAACGCTATTGGTTTGATGAAAACAATTATTATTATAACCAATTGTATCAGTGATTGTTTTACCGTGCTCGTTTGTTTAACTGTTCTAATGACAGCCATTTTGGCCTTCCATTGAACTTCATTAATTCTGTGCGGTTTGTGACTCTACGCACGTACTTTATCCTGCCGATTCCACTTGTATTCCTTTTGGCACGATCTCTGTATTCTTACGATACTACAAGATCTTCAGCAAATATATCTCGACTACAGCCATCATCTTTCTTCTGATATTGTCCTAATAGGAACTTTATTGCTTTATTGGCACATAGTCTTGTAGCGATGTATTCATAATCAAGCACGATTCAATACCATGCTACAAGAACATCAATCTTATTATACCGATTAGTGAAACATGATAAGATAAGAACTTTCATAATCTGTACAATTTCTATCGGTATATTACATTGCAAATAAATATCTGACTATGCAATCGCTTGTTATGATATATATATATATATATATATATATATATATATATATATATATATATATATATATATATATATATATATATATATATATATGAAGAATAATGGTTGAAGTAGACTAATTGTATCACCAATCGCAGTAACTTCAAAGTGAGTATAAATTGATTTAACCCAGACAGCCGGAAGTAGATATATACGCTCAAATCACACTACAAATGGACATTGCATAGAAACAATACAATCCTAATTATCTAACTAATCTATTCACAATGTCTCATTAGGGTTCATTACACCTCTCAGTTATTTATGTTAATAATCTTAGTCTTTGTATTCATGTTGGTTTGTAATATATCACTTTGTATATTGGTTAAAAGAAATATGACCGACAACAAGATAAACATTGTTTCTGTTATTGTTTCACACATTTTCACTCATTAATAATGATAATGATGATGATGATGATAATGATGATCTACATTCTTAAACTTACTAGACAATCATTTTGAATGGAAGATATTTTTACACAATGATCATTTTCACTGGGTCCATCTATTCTAGCATCATAGACTTACATTGTTTATCAGACGAATTATGAATTTTATAAAGTTAATTTCTATTATTCTTATAAATAACTGTAGTTGTAATCTTGTAAATGTCCATGCATATGATGTTTACTGAATAAAATTATCTGTGGAATTCTTTTGTTAATGTTGTCATTGATCTACTTAAATGGATTGGTTTTATCTTACAATTTTCATTCATTCATTCATTTAGATATTATTTTAGCTTAATTCAGTAAAGTCTGATGGCGATCTAACTGATAACAGTAATATATGACTAGTTGTATAATTTTACTAGTCGAATTCATAATTTAATCTAAGTTGCACCGCCATTGGAAACTACGAGACATTGGATGGCGATTTCGTCCAAGTATAGGACAACCCCAGCACAGTAAACCGATAATTTTGTATGTGGAGCTTAAACTCAGGTCTCTTGAGCTCGCAAGCGATTGTTTAACCTGTAGACCACTGAGATGGAATCCAAGAGTCTGAAATGAAAATGAAGATAGGCAGTGCAAAAGCAGCCTCTTTAGTAATTAGCCTCAATATAAATAAGGGGAAAGTCGAGTTCCTAAAATACAACACAGACAACACCAACGCGAACGAATCTGATGAACAATATTTGTAAGAGGTAGAAAATTCTAGATAACTGGTCAGCATGATTGATAAACAGGGAGCATGTGATGCAGACGTGAAGGTACGTAATGACAAGGAGAGCACAGCATCCCCACATTCGAAAGACATATGTGAGAGTCAAATTAACAGTCAGCCAACATCAAAATGCGAAACTTCAATACGGGCATCGAGATGGTTGTAAATTATGGAGTCGAAATGGGGAGAACCGCTTTAGTCAATATCAAACAGGCACACGTATTTATAAACAATTGTCTGATCGTGATACTCCATATCGGTTTGTCGGATATCTTGAGCAACAATCTATTGTGGTGGAGAACGAAACAGCTCATAGCTCAGCTGAAGATTAGGACAAGTCTCTTGAGGTCGATAGGACATACACTATGGCAATCGAACTGCATCATGAGTTAACCGCTCGCCTGGCAACCTGAAGGCGGAAGGGTCAGGGGAGACTATTCTTCATGAGGACGAATTTCGGTAAGTAGCACTCACGATATATATAATAAATGCAGTTCTGAGTGTTCCGTGTGTCAGATAATTCATGTTTATCTGCATGTTGAGATATGTTTCAACACACTTCATCACATAGTTAATAGGTATTTCATTAATTAACACAGTTTGTATTGGATTAATGCATCATATGGTTTGTTGGAATAGTTGTTTTATTCAGAATGTATCTCTAAAGATTGATTGATCGATCTCAGTGTGGTATATTGTTTATCAGTTGTGCTGAGCTTCAGACATCGCCTTCACTCGATACGTTCGGGGACTATATAAACACGATACTTATTAGTCTGTTTCTTATGTTTATTTTATTTGTTCAGTGAACTTGTCAATTCGGAGAAGATTACTGCTTATCCAACCTCGTGTTGTGTGTATCACACTATATTACTTGCTGATATTAAGTAGGTTGGATCAATTTTAAGTATGTAGCTATCTATGAATCTCTTCCTTGTAATATGTGGTGTTTTTATGTATTTATATGAAGATATTGCATTCAAGTTACTTATCAGTATATTTGAATTTCCGTAATGTTTTCGATAGGAACCTTATGTTTTGTATAGTCATTCAGTTTACTTGTCCATCCCACCAGCTTAAGTTCTTAGCTGACCTAGTGTTATGTAAATATCGCTATAAACTACATGCACACACTGGCTAAACCGATGACAGAACGAAGCGGGGAAATGAGAGAATAAGTGTTGTAGGTGGAATGTTCATACAAGTCAGGCACTAGCAGTCGCAATGAATTAAGAAAATAATATGACGAATTAATTCAAGCTAATAATTCTTCCTAATCACTGAGTATGCAAAACGTCATTTAAGAAGCGTGAGAGTATTAAATTGTCACAGTCATGGTCATTCAAACGATAGTCAGACTAGTATCTATAGATATTGATCATGTGATAAATAAATAGGAAACTGGCTTAAAGTCGTTGAAGCAGTCAGTGGATCACTCCAGATTACATCCGAACTTCGGTTTGTCAAGCATCATTCTGATAAGCTTATATAAGCAATTCATAATTTAATAGAGATTATGCTATCCGTCATCCCTTTTTCAAGAAACATATCTTAGTTCATGAATTACATCTGACTGAATCCATTTAATTAATTCAAATTCACAAATGATTTACTTTTATTGTATTTGGTCATATGAGGTTCGTAAACGCTATTTAAACTCGTATTTCTTTAATCATACCAACTGTCTAACTGTACAAAATACTCCAATTTAAAAATTAGTGTACTGAATATAAAATTAAAGCTGAAGCTTTCCATGATACCTTACTCATAATCACGATGAATTGTGACGCTCTTGAGTCCTGCAAGCATAGTATTTCAACGGTACTACCAAATGTCGATCCATGCAACATCATCCACGCTAACTTTATGTAGTAGTAAACATCTCAGTTGTTCCACTGTTCTTATATCACACTGTCCCACTGAACTGAAATGATATTTAGTGATTTCCGATTAGACTAAATGAAAGATAAATGATAGGTCGTAAGACTCTTGAAAATGTACTTGTTTAGTCAAATGTCAACGCGAGCATTGATTTAAGCAATGTATTCTTAATGTAGGTGACATGGACGTATCATGAAATAGTGTACTTGTTTAAATGTGGTCAGTAATCGATAGTGTAAAGTTGACACTGTAATCTGTATAAATTTCATGAATCAAATAGATAGAAATTCTGTCATGTGAAATCGTCTATATTCGGAGAATTATGTTAGAATGATTCTAATATCTATTACGAGATTTGGAGCGCTTTGTGGGAGTGGGGTTGCGACAAGCAGTTTATAGTCAATTATGAATGGAGCTCAAGTCGAGAGCAGTTTCTTTGATTTATCATTTATACTACTTACTTAATATTCAGTAAACAATGTTCTTAATAATCATTTTTCAGTTCTTCGATGTGATATTTACATAAATCTTTAATATCGAGCCTACTTAATAATGAATTTTATGTATGATATTGCAGTTTTCGTTGGAGTTATCACTACAAATTCCCCTCAGTAACCCATTAGTCTATTGATAAGTACTTTTGAATTTTGTTTGTTCATAACTGACTTGTATTTGTTAGCTGTCGTGGTTGAGTTGACATAACTACTGGTTCATCGTAGGCTTCATTGTAAATACGTCCTATAAAAATATTTCGGGGAGAAATCCTTACCTATTTGTGATATATATGCGTGTGAATACACTAAATACTTCATGAAATGAAGTATTTTAAGATATGTTGCTCATGTTTTCGTTTCGTAAGCTGATTGTTTGTTATGATTTTAGATATCACCCACAGTTGGATTGACTGATCGTGGTCTCTCAGTAAACTTAACAGTACCATTGTTTTCGGGAGATATTTATAAAGATTCGCTTGACATTTAAAGGAGAGTTTTAGAATACCTCGTATTGCTAACTCAAAATTAATTTAAACTCTTTCATAAAATGACTAAGTAACCTCATGGGTTCTATGAAAGGTTGCTGGAGATGAACTGATGTGGAGGGAAAAATAATAGAGCAATGATGGGCAGTGGATGTTACTTTTTACGACGTCAGCTCAAGTATAGTTTCGAACAAATGGACTTCTCTACCAACCAATGTGATCATAGTTCAGCAATAGGATATCTTTCTACTATTTAGCTTCAAGCCATTTCAGACGCAACTATAACTCACGTGTTGCAAGTTTCAGGGGTGCCCTATGTAACCCATCACTAGATAGCCCGTCATTCCTAAATATT